TATCGATTCCATTACAGAATTCATAAATTACAGATTCCATTACAGTCGGATACTCGACATAATGCATACATTTCTTCGAAAATCCTGTTACATCAGTCACGCAAAAGAAGCAATCGTTGTAGTGTATAAGTAAAATATCAACGAGGGTCGCGCCACAGTATCGTTATTGCAAATGGCATTTACGACTATGGACTAATATGAACGAAACCTATCGGTGTGCACCTCACAAACAAGGCGTGATGGTACCAAACGACATCTACTGACAGCATACTCAAAGAGAAAGCAATAATAGCAATCAGTTTTTCAGGTACCAAACTCGTGTCACGCAATGCAATTAGACCCGTTAGCGGAGGAAGTGCTTTGTACTCGGAGGTGGCGGTGTTCCTCTCCCACTGGATGGTGAGTTCCAACGCAGACCTAGATGTCGGTGTGCAAAGGTATTCTCCCTCCAAGTGTTTCCCCAGTGAGGCGCCGGGACAGCTCCAAGCTCCCGATGGTTGGTTGGATGGTTGTTAGTGATTTCGGGCGCGTATACTACTGAGGTCATTGGTCCCAAAAGTATAGTGCATGTTTCCCCCCTCAGGGGGTGGCGGTGATCTTCCCCCGCTGGATGGCGAGATCTGGGGTTTCCTGGAACCAGGTATCTCACACCAGCGGGGTACCGCTCCCAGCCGGGGCCACTTGAGCTCCCGACGGACAAGCGTTGTAGTGCAGTGTATGACGTAAGTGTGTTTGTAGCGGACGAAGATAGGACAAGGAAGAGGAAGAAAAGATTACTCGCGGTCCATGGCCCGTTTGTTAGGGTACTGCTTCGGCATTCGCCCCAGCTGGGACAAGCTCTAAGCTCCTGACCGTTCTTTCCGCATGTGTGGTAGTGTAGTGCATGTTAGTTAGTAAGGAATGAGGATATGAAGGGGAAAGATCGCGCGCTGTCCGTGGCCCGTTTATTAGGGTACTGCTCCTGCATTTGCCTGGTGTTGATCGGAGAAATCATGGAAAACTACCGATCAGAGCAGCCGGTCGCTAGAAATCTCCTCTAGACAACAACTGAATTCGACTTACTTATCTAGCTAGAAACTCCAAAGCTGTCGAAAATCTGTAGATAGGACAAGGGAAAATAAAGATTGCATGCATTCCGTCGTCCGTTTGTTATAATAATGGTCTGGCATTAACCTGAATTCATGGAAAAACCACGGAAAACTACCGATCAGAACAGCCGGCCGCTAGAATTTCCCTCGAGACATTGGGTTATATGAATAAAAATGAGCACTTGCTCAGAAGTACTTGCTTCGGAGCAAAGTGAGTCTACTCCGCGACACTTGCTCGTCATGAAAAAGAGATGATGCAGGCTAAGAGTTTTAAAAATTGGTTTCTTGAGTAACAAAGAGGTTACATACATTACGCGCGTCGCGTACATTTGTGCGGAATAAAGAGCAATGTTTTGTTGTCTCGTTCTCTAAATTCGAATATGCGTTGCAGTAACGAAAAACAGGCGCTAGAGGCCCAGCTAGTTTTTGTCGAAATGCTAAGCCAATATAAAATTATTTTTGAAAAGGGCCAGGCTCCGGAGGTACGCTGTGGCCGAAACGAAACATTACAAAGTTTGAAAAAACAGTACCCCGAAAAATTCCAAGTAGAAAAGAGCGATGGCCAATTAACATAAAATATATGCAATATGAAAACGCGCCTGAAAGCAAACGCCGATAAAAATCGTATCAACCATGCATTGTCCTTTTCGAATAGACAAAGATTCTAATAGTCTACATCACGATAATTTCGCCTCATCTTGTAATTTTTTTAGTCCGCTGCATCTGCATATAAACACACGGTAAAAAAATCGGCCAATGTAACCTTACTTTTCAAACCTGAGCCTGCTATTAAGGTCCCTCCGAAACTTTGGAGCAAGTGCTCACTCTTAGAGAGTAAAGGCTTAACTTCATTCATACCAATTCTGAGCATTCGCTCGCCAGTTGAGATGACGCTCAGAGATGGAGGAAGTGCTCAGAGACTGAGCAATTGCTCACCCACTTTATTCATACGAAACTGAGAAGGATCTCCCAAACTCGGAGCAAAGAGTAACTGCTTACTTTTATTGATACCACACATTGACTGAAGTTGATCTAGCTATCTTGCTAGTATCGACAGGGCTCGAACATAGAATCTCTCAGTCAGAGTCGCTGCAGAGACGACTGTGAACTAAACGCAACCGGTGGAAAATGTATTGGAGGTCTCACAAATCCTGATTCCAATCGGAAGGGCCGTGTACTTCGAAGTGGGATGAGAGCGATTGAGTTACGGGCCCACCTCGGAGAACGCCCAAAGACAACAGTAATGTTTTTCAGAAGAAATGTTTTGTTTTCTCAGAAAGAATGTTGCTCTCTGACTTCCTGCTCATGAGCAGCAATTTGCGTGAATGCAAATGAAGTTAGCGGTAGTTTGAGTATTTGCTGAAGATCCATTGTGTTAACTCGTTTAGGGGGTAATTACTGTGACTAAACGTGATAATGGGTATAATGGAGACGTGCAACTGGCTTCAGACTAAAAGGCAGAATATATGTGGAAAATCTATTTGACATGAACACAGTATACAGCTTTGCGTTATTTAAAAACAACACAGATGTAATGTAAATATTATTTTAAGGTTTACATTTAGAATAATAACAATAAAATCTGTTCAATACATATAAAAGTTCAAAATTAGATTTCGGCAGTTTTATTTTTAAAATAGGATATCTTTTCCAAATTCCTCAAAATTGAAATCTACTTTTCGGTGTACCGTAGACCCCATTGTGTTTTACGAGTAACAAAATGTAGTGTGTGTGGTACGTTCAGGCCAGTACGTGATTTTTCTAACAGGTATTAAAACAGTGAAGCATCACCAAAGATCGGATAACGCTAAGAAATGTATTCTTCTGCCGGTCTTATGGGATAGAAAACTGATTGTGATGCCTCACAGTGTCAATTAAGAGCTTGTAGTTGGACGTTTGGGTTATTTTTCATTAGCGATTTTCTTAGTCCCAAAATCGTCACTGAAAAGAATATTGATAGAATGGATACAAATCATGTCGAAAATCATAAGTGAATGTATGTATGTTTGTGAATTAAGTCAACAAATGGATGTGAACGGATAGGAAAGTTTCCGAATTTCAAAGATCCCACATTGTTTACATTAATCATTTAAATTAAACTCAAAATATACTAAATTTTCATCACAGAAGTTTGCATGTTAAATAATATTTCTTAGTTTTAAATTGTATTTGTCACCATGCAAACATTCTCCAGTTGAGGTAATGTCCCGAACAACAGAGAGCCAAAGAACAAGTTAGCCAACGTTTGTGGAATGAATGTGAATCATTTCTACGTGTTTCACCGTCTGCGCTTCTCAATTTGTTTTGGCAACAATGAGTGTCGAAACCATCGTTCACATGACTGAACAGACAATATATGCAGGAATAAATGACGGGATTCTATGGAGAGTGCCAAGATATTTAGCATTTGAACATAAGACGGAGTTCGTGTGTCTGACCTGCACGGGGGCCAAGGCCTGCATGTCACCCAAAACAGAAACTTTCCGAATCGACGCGCTTCGAAATTCCGGTCTGCCCCGTGCGAAGCTTCCCCGAAAAGTTTTCAACCATTAAAAAAAAAAAAAAAAAAAAAAAAAAACAAAACAAAAAAAAAAAAAAAAAAAAGAAAAAAAAGAATCCGCCCATCACAGTAAGCAGGAGAATATCTCACCTTAAAGGCCCGGAAGCTCGCAAATAACAAATCATCCTGCTTAGTGAAAAATTCAGGACAATCACAACATCCTATCGTAATCTGTTTTATTAACCTATTTCATTTAATAAAACAATTGAATATAAATCTCAATATATTTGACGAGTTCGCGACGTAACTTTAATTTGCATTTTCGGCTCACGAGAACACTTCAAAATACCGATATAGCTGTAATAGGGGTCTTTACCAGTAAGACTAATAAGATAAAATATAGAAGACTATATATATTTGTAGAAGACAACCTGTAGAGGAAAGGGAAGAATATTAAATATGTCTAGTTATGACAAAATTACAAATTAAAATACCAGAATCTGTATTTCAACCATTGGTTGCAATAACCATTTGACGACCCTTGACGACATATACGAAATCCATTGTATCATCTGGTGAGAAGAATGTTCCTTTTCCTCAGATTTTAACCATTTAGTCCTTGTTTAGAGCCACACTGTCTTCACCTCCATTGCTTTGTATCTTTATTTCATGTACTGAGTTCCTAGACTATACTAGAATTCATGACTCATTGAATATTATAATACATTAGATTTCGTTATTAAGCTTTACGAATTAATTACTTTCAAAGGGCATAGCTTTACGAGACGGCAGCAAACGTACTTATAGTAAGATCGAATTTATTCAATTTAGAAAGCAATATTTTGATATATCTTGAAATTATCTGCACGTTCCGCGAAACTACAGGCCTCCGAGACGCGGTAGCAATTTCGTGAAGGTCCTTCTACCGCCCGCCCGACGCTGAGCGTCGGTTGTGGGAACGGCTCCGAAGCGCCGTCGACCTGGACAAAAACCGCCTAGCAACACCGTGCAGACCAGTTCGGACTCTCCGGTCAGCCTACGGCACCCCATAAAGGTAGTCGCATTTTTCGCACAACCGGGCTGTGCGGCTCGAGGTGGGTCTGGGCGGGGGGTGGGGCGGGGTAGGAAGGAACGGCGTGGTGGGGCGGGGCGGGGCGGGGCGAAAGTGGGTGGGCAGGACGGGCGGAGCTGGGCGGGGCCGGCGGAAAACAGCGGCGCGGGGCGTGGTGGGCGCCGGGGCGGGGCGGGCGGTCAGTCCCAAGGTCACCGCAGGCTCCTCGCGGCGCGCCGCGACCCGGGGGCGTGCGCGGGCAAGGTCTTAGGCGGGCGGGCGGGGCGGTGGGCGGCGGCCCAGATCCGGCGCCCAAAAGGGGGCCGGAATTGCCCCCGGGGGGGCGGCGCAGCGGCGACGGCGGGTTTCGGTGGGCGACGCGTCGGGCGGGCGTGGTCCCACGGCGAACGGCCGCCGGGACGCCGCGCCGCGAAGACCCTATAAAAGCCCGGCCGCCGCCGGCCGCCGCCAGTTCCTCTTGCCACGAGAAACACGCACTTTGCATCCACCATGAAGGTAAGGCTTCGGGATGGTGCTTGTTAGCGATATGCGAAGGTTTGGGCGGCTGGGATAGTGGGAATAATACATTGAAATGAATATTTACGCTAATCTTTCTAAGAAAAGCGTTTTGTACTTACGAAAAAATACTCCAGAAAATGAGTAGTTCGTTTAACATAAATTTTGGGGGAAATGGGCGAGGAAATATTGAAATAACTCATCATTAGGTAGAAGAGTTTTAATTATTGATTTTAGGGAATAATCTTTGACGACAAAATATTTCATGTGGATAATTTTTGCCTATTTAAACAACTGGAATTCGGTACTACTATAATTTTGGAAGCAACCGAAAGTTGAATTGCGATAAATTCCCGATCTTTATTTGGCTTTGAAGTGCTATTACTTGTACAAATGATAAAATTAAAACGTGATTAGGATTTTTGTATCATTCTAATAAAACTTACTCTTCGAAATGTTCTTAGATGAATGTTTCCTGTATAAACGAAACACAATAATAGCAAATAGCTTATACGTCAAATTATAATAATATGGGGAAATCATAAGATTGACGGTGCAGCATTTTCAATAATTACGGTACAAAAATACTTATATAGAAACTTTTAAATAAATCTTAATATTTCGATGAAATATCTTAATACAGTAAATCAAATTGCTAGATAGGTTTGACTTATCTTCCAATATTAAATTCGAAATATTTAAAGAAAATATTATTAAATGGGTTTGTAAAACATTACCTTTAAACTTCATATACTCATCACGTCTTCTTTGTGGCGAGAATGCACTGAAACGTCTAAAGAATTACGAATGACATACGTTTTGATTAAACTTTTAATTTGCTTTATGGAATTTCATTCTTTTCTATATTTCATGTACTATTTGAAATCGTGTTTCGCTTAAATATGCGAATTCCACTTGTGAATCACTGTCATTAATTATAGATTCAAATTTATGCTAAATAATTCTGGAGAACAAAAGCAATTGTTTGCTTCTCCTTCATCGTATTGCTATCCACTAGGCGTATCGTATATCAACTGTTAATTACCACATAAATTTGGTAACGATTGAATATCTCACATATTTAATAGAACGTATCACGTTGGGAAGTTAATATACATTATTGTGTAGTGATAAATAGTGTAACAATATCAATTTTTAAAAAAAAAGTGAAATATCATACATAAAAATCGATTGGCCTTAATTTCTTAAGATCTCCTTGGAGACATTTCATTAGAATTCACCAATAAACGACCGTCACGAGATTGTGTAATGAGCTTCTTGGCGTCAAAACGAATACATGTGATCGCTACCTCTCATGATTGAGCAGCTCTATAACAAAATAGGACGCACAGAAATGTAGATGCATGTGCTGCAATTCTCATTTTAGGGTTAATTTAAATTATATTTATTCAGAGGAAATATTACATGTGTTATTGATTACGTACAAATAACAAAAACAATGAAGAGTTTTTCTCGCACTTGTTCACTTTTATGCTGTGCTTCTCTTGTATCTCACAGTTGTCTCTGACTATTCAGAAATCTCATATTTCATTGTTGTATTTTTTTTTGCAAAGTATTATCATGAACTAGGGCATCAAATGAGTAACTGCGGCATTGCTGAGTGTTATTTTGCCAGTAAGCTTCTTTGTAATGCGCCTTCTCCTTGGTAGGTCATCGCCACTGTCCTCTCTCTATTTGTCGCCTACGAAATACAGATTGAATTAATGATTCCTGAAGTAATTTATATGTTTTTCAAATCACATTCGAGTATCATAATAGGTTAGAAAAGCGTTATTAATGATAGGGTAGACAATCTCTTTTCATTTTGCACAAATACTACAACTTTTACACGAACGTTTCCTTATTTTTCTCTTTAAGCTGTTACGAAATCATTTTATAAAATTATGTGGCTCATTATTGCGATCTTTCAGACAAGATTCTAAAATATTCGTCAAAATCCTAAAAATATAAAAAATCATGAAACATGTTTAGACGAAATTTATCTTTCTAGTAATTCCTTCTTCTTGCGTTATGTCAGTTTCGTAGAAGTGATAAAGTTGGATACAAATGATGTTTCGAAGTGATATAAAGAAATTACAGTGAAACTACCACAAAATAATCTCTGGGAAATTAGAGAATCCTCCGCTTAACTCACACCAGCATTGACCGATTCTGTTCCTTGCTCACGCGTTCTCTTCCCCTCCAGGTCATCGCCGCCGTCCTCTGCCTGGCCGCCGCCGTCAGCGCTGGCGTCGTCGCCCCCGCCACCACCCTGGTGCGCACCCCCAGCCTGGACTCCGCCGTCATCCAGTCCGACCGCGTCGGAGGCAACTTCGCCTACAGCACCGTCGAGGGCCACGCCTACGCCGCCGTCTCCCCCGTCGTGCAGAACGTGGTGCAGCCCGTCGGCGTCTCCTACACCGCCCACCAGGTGCCCGTCGGCGTCGCCTACTCCGCCCCCGCCGCCGTCGCCGCCTACCCCTACGGCGCCTACCCCTACGCCACCTCCTACGCCGCCCCCTACGGCATCCCCGCCGGCAGCGGTGTGGTCGTCGCCTAAGCCCACTCCATCTGCACGCGAAGCCGACCAAATGCTGCGACCACGGACGCCGAGATCCTTGAGCTGAGATGAGATCATCATGGCACTGAGAGCGCACACTTTACCTATCCGATCTTCACATTTCATCTTTTGCTTTCTTTTTTATTTATTGGAAAAATAAAGATACTTTTCAATACATTTTCATGCTATTATTTACCAAAACCCATTTTCTACCACGATACTTTGTCTTCCTCTAGAAGTTGATGTGCACGAAATAGTTGCATGAACTTACCCTTGACTTCGCACCTGTTTCAGAAACATGAGTCTGAAGGTCATTCGGTATCGAGTCAACTTTTTATTCAATGCATGTGGTGACAAATGAGATATTTCTAATACGTCACGCGAATAATTGCTTACACGCTCCAAGACCTTGGTGTAATTAAAACTTCCTCAAAACACCTTCAAGGTTTATTGTGTGTGCAAGAAAGCATCAAAAAAATCTGAGTTGTTCTTTGTGTCCTAATACTGTATAGTATGTTTGAATATGAAAGACCTCCTGCTCCCTGACCAATAATGTTCAAAATACCTTATCATTTTAAAAACTCGAGTCCAATATAGAATCAATTTCTGTATTTTGGAGTGCTTAAGTCATCAGGAAAAATAAATAATGGGTACATATTGAAAATCCACGATTGATATTTGATTACGTTCAACAACATAAATATGCAAATCTGTTGAGATCAGGCATTGCTTTGAAAGTCGTGTAGTAGTCCCCGCGTTCTTTATCGTACGGTCTGAAACGCAAGAGGTCCTACCCTTTGCGAATAATCCCAGCCTTCACTAATAATTCCAGAGAAAAGGAAATTTTGCTGCTTACTCGATAGATGTAAGGACCCTTCCGTTGCTATCAAAGACACAACAGTTAGGAGGAATAATGGATTCTGATATGCAAAACTATAAGGTATCAGCGTATTTTGTGCCTCCCATTTTGTGCCTCAGGACCTCGGTACTGGTTAGCACTTCTTCTGGGAGAAAGGTATGACTTCTGGAAGGTAATAATTTTTGTTGTATTCCAGCACTATAATAGAACCTTTTCTGTTGCAAGAAATCGTTCATTTTACGGTACAAATGATTGCGTCATCACACATTCAGCCAATCGTAGCGAGAGAATCAGGGGAGGTAGAGCTAAAAGGAACAGCCGACCACCGTTTACTCGCACGATGTCAAATACCCGAGTCGTCACAGGGAAGTTGTTTCGCAAAATTAAGGTTGATTCTCTTATAAATGTATAATGCTGTTATACAAAAAATATACTATGAAACTCGTTTATAATATTGCTTTATTACATTCATACAAATTTGAATACACGCTCCTAAAGTCGCTCGTTTTCAAAACATGTACTCATGCAATAAAAAATAAAAACTACTATTTTCCTGGGGCTTTTTCTAGCTTTAAAGGATGTCGATTATGACTATTCGCTCCGGGTACTCACTACGTCCCTCGTAGGAACACACATTAACCTTTTACACTAGACACACACTTGCGGACTCCTCGGTCTGTGCTCAGCAGACTCACAAGGCTTTCCGCGACAACATACATAATCGTGTATGAAAGATTAGGGACAAACGACCATGCCCACGACAGGGCTCGGTCCCGCGACCCTTCAGACCGAGGCGCCGAATCGGTACACACTGAGGCCACCTCGGCCATTCAGGTCGGTTGAATTGTGATAATATAATGAAAGTAGTAGCTGAATGCCAATCTTTGTGTTACAGACTCATTTTGCATTTTTCTCAAATAATTTCACATCATAAATGCTTGCATGTAAGCATCAATAAATGTAAGTTTCAATAAATGTTTAATAAATAATGAATTATTTATATTTTTTGTAATTTCATTTCTTAAAGTATTAGTGTCGTAATACATTGAGTTTTTCTTTTAATTTTAGGGCATATTATTTTGGAGCTGTAGAAGTTAGGATTTTATTTAAAATGATTCATAGAGATATCATTATGCGTTTCGTCAAAGTTTCTTTATTAACTTAATAAATAAAGAGTGGAGGAAAGAATTCGAAAAGTTCTCATATTCAAGAGTATCAATTTAGGATGGAGAAGGAAGATTGGAAGGAGAACGAAAGTAGAAGTTAGGATCGGATTTAAAATAGTTCATAAAGAAAACATTATGCGTTTCGTCAAAGTTTCTTTATTATTTTAATAAATAAAGAGTGGAGGAAAGAAATCGAAGAGTTCTCATATTCAAGAGTATCAATTTAGGATGGAGAAGGAAGATTCATCATGAAAGTTCATTTGAATCTTCAAGAAGTAAAAGGGGTCTTAGACGTGGATCTTGGCAACGGGGGCACCATAGGCGGCGACCGCTGCGGGGGCAGCGTAGGCGGCGATGGGGGCGGCGACGGCGGCAGGGGCGGCGTAAGCGACTGCGGGGGCGGAGTAGGCGACGCCGACGGGCACCTGGTGGGCGGTGTAGGAGACGCCGACGGGCTGCACCACGTTCTGCACGACGGGGGAGACGGCGGCGTAGGCGTGGCCCTCGACGGTGCTGTAGGCGAAGTTGCCTCCGACGCGGTCGGACTGGATGACGGCGGAGTCCAGGCTGGGGGTGCGCACCAGGGTGGTGGCGGGGGCGACGACGCCAGCGCTGACGGCAGCGGCCAGGCAGAGGACGGCGGCGATGACCTGGAGGGGAAGAGAACGCGTGAGCAAGGAACAGAATCGGTCAATGCTGGTGCGAGTTAAGAAGCAGTTAAGCGGTCTCTAATTTCCCAGGGGTTATTTTGTAGCAGTTCCATTGTAATTTCTTTATATCATTTCATACGATCATTTGTATGTAATGTCATCACTTCTATGTATCTCTGATATAACACAAGAATAAGTAATTATTAGAAAGATAAATTTCTTCTAAACATGTTACATGATTTTTTATATTCGAATTTCTTCTAAACATGTTATATTCAATTTTTATATCGAACCATCATTTGTATCCGACTTTATCACCTCTACGTAACTCTTATATAACACAAGAATAAGTAAATACTAATTTTTAAACATGTTACATTATTTTTTTATATTTTTATGATTTTGACGAATATTTTAGAGTATTGGCTGAAAGATCGCAATAATGAGCCACATAATTTTATAAAACGATTTCGTGTCAGCTTAAAGACAAAAATAAGGAAACGTTCGTGTTAAAGTTGTAGCATTTGTGCAAAATGAAATGAGATCGTGTACCCTTTCATAAATAACGCTTTTCTAACCCATTATGATGCTCGAATGTGATTTGAAAAACGTCTAATTTGCTGCATTAATCATTATTTCAATCTGTATTTCGTAGGCGACAAATAGACTTACGGAATACTATTGCCTATCCGTTTTTGAAACAAGTTAATGTAGTAATGATGTTTTGTTTTTGTATTTATTCCTCCAAATTAACAACTCCGAAAGCTTTCAGTGCAAAAAGCGTCCTCTTAACAAAGCAAGTAATATCGGCGGCTCTATCAAAAAGCAAAAAATTCCTATCTGCTGCCAAGCCCATCAAACCTTTCCTCTTAAGGAGAGCCGTAGTGACGTAGGAAATTTCAAGATCGCCGATGAAACAGTGATGCATATTAACGGTCCACGTGCCCCGCCCACTTGTCAGGCCCTCCCCACTCGTTCACCCCCCACCCCCCACCCCACTTCGGCCACGCGGCGGCGGCCTTCCTTTTGGATCCTGTTATTCTTTTGCTTTATGAATTCCTTTGTTCATTTCGTCCCCCATACCTTGTAGCTGTACTCTATCACACATTTTAGTTCACCCTTTCTCCGTTAATCTGAGATGAATGTCTTACAGGAATAAAGGAAAACGTGAGATCGCCAATCCAAGTTTGATATTACAGCTATACAATTTTAATTCCAAAAATTTCTTTGTTGCCACTCGCAAGTTGGCAGATATACTCAAACCGCCTAATTAAAATAATCTATAAATTATAGTATTCTAACTCCTTGCTAATTTTGCATTTTAATCGTTTCCTACATAGTTTCATTTCATCTTTCATTCTTATATTTGGTATCTCATTTGTTCCGGTGGTACCTTCATGAGTTTCGTAGATTATAGATTGTTTTAAATCATAAGAGTGCACATTGTGTTTCTAATGTATCTGTCTATAAGTATTGCTTTGGCTTGTCTTCAGCTACGTTTACAGTCTATTCGACATTTTCTACATCCTAGTAGTACGCTGTACCGGACGTTTTTGTGACGATGTGGTGACATTATACTCTGAAACAGTTAGGCGCCAATGTCGGCGTGTTCAGAGTGGCGAGTGACGTTCAAGTTTTGTTGGGCCTTGAGAACGTTCGTACGACTTATGCTTATGAATATGAATCACGCGTTCATTCACTTTGTCAGTGTATACTCGAAGTATGTAAAGTGTATGTCAAATGTCTTTACACGAAAAATCATAAATTTAGAGTACATGACTATTAATGTTCAAAATGCAAATCAAAGCGATGAATATCAAAATTTTTTTTTCGTATTTATGAATGAATGTAATGTCAACAAGTTGTAACTAAATTAGGAAGACGGTAATAGTAGTATAAGATAGTCAAATATACAATAAAATACTTATTCCTATATAAACCTACAGAAGAAATACATTTAAAAAATGAACGAATTGCCTGTCCTGTTGGTATTAGTCATTGATGTACACACATATAAATTCCAATATAAACGTGAAATACGTGCTTCGAATATTTTGAAAAATCATTTCTAAAGCTACATCATTCATCATGTTACCAAATTTGAGAACCCTTCAATAATAAATTAAGCGCTCGAAGGGAAATTCAGATGAAAACTATAAAAACGTCTTACGTCTACAACACTCAACGAATGACAGCTGATTTGAATCTCAAGAAGTTAGAGCAATATGTATTAACTATAAAACATAAGATTGACAATAAAACATAATATTGACAACAAAATATAAGATTGACAACAAAATACAAGTTCTAACACATGTATGTAATTATTGTGATGTATTCGCATATCAGCAATAATTTGTATTATTTACAATAATTTCAACTTACAATTCAAGCCTGTTTCAACCCTCCACCCAACCACCCCAGCCCCAAAATCACATTATCAGAGGTGAACATTTTCTTCGAGTTACCGCCTAGTTTAAAGTCCCGTAATGATATCCAGCTATGCCCAACTCACCTTCATGACTGCGGTGGTAGCGTTGATGGAGCTGCGAATCAACTTGGCGGTGGAGCGCGACGGGGAGCTTTTATAGCGCGCCCCTCGCGGCCACGCCCGCGCCGCGTCGTCGAACCCCGACCCTGGCCTTGGCGGGCAGCTTCCGCGGGGGCCCGTTCCCCGCCCGGGGCGCCCCCCTGCAGCCCCCTTGCGCGGCGCGTGAATGACGTGGAGCGGCGTGGCCCAGCGGCGCGCAAATCCGCGCGGTCCTAGGCCGAGATCCCGCTGCACGCGCCGGACATGGAGCGGCCTTCAAGGCGAGGCAGGGTCGAGATTGGAAGCGTATTTCACATCCTACACGCTAATGCGGTTGCAACTAGAATTGCGTGCTGTTCGTTATTGTTGTGTTGAAGGATGTGAAGGGTTCTTAACTGTTAAGTTTTAAAGTTCATATCAACTAAATATGATTAATTAAATAAATCTTAAACCGGCCAAGAAGGCAAGGCAGGGTCGAGATTGGAAGCGTATTTCACATCCTACACCGTGTAAATTGCTCTGCAACCTACAATTGCATGTTAGCCGGCTGCTGTGTTCGTTTACGTACGTGTGTTGATGAGGGGAATCCTAATTTTAAGATTACAACAATTTTTTTTAAGATTACACGCTAATACCCTTGCAAAACTAGTATACGGAAAAGTTTTCTGAGAATTTAGAAGAAATGATTCAAGATAAGAAAAAGACATACATATGAAATGGTTAAATGATAAACACCAGAGTCAAGGGAAAAATATGATTGTTTCGACAGAAAGTTAAATTAGACGTAAGAATGGAAAAAAATGAACCTTCGAACAGGCTATGCACATACATCGATGGAACTGTAAGATACAATAAATCATCTGAAGCCTGGAAAAGTATCAAGAAATGAAAAGAAATAATAAGTGTAGAAAGAATAAAACAAAGAATCCCTTACAAAAAATCAATACACCCTTCTACAAGAAAGCAGACCAGATTGCGAAGGAGAAGAATGAATAAGAGATCTGGAGGAAAATAATTTTGAAATAAACGAGTATGATGTTAAGAAGGCACAATGCAAAAACCAATGCCCTGGACGGGGAAATATAAGAATGGAGTCTCCTGAAATATGGCGTTGTGGTTGTGGAATACTTAAAGAAAATGTTCGATAAGATAGAAGCAGAGAGAATCCACTTAGAGAATGGTACGCATCCTACATCTCTTCAATATTTAAGAAGGGAGACAAACGATCATGTGCGAATACAGGGGAATATGTCTCATATAATCAACAGCAAGATTGATTTCGAGAATTTTTAGTAAAAAATTGAAGAAGATATACCTGTATTGAGTGAAGAACAGAGGGGGTTTAGACGATCATACCTAGATAACATCCACTGTATCAGACAAGTTATAGAGAAACATAAATCAGAAACAGAGATATTTTTGTGACCTTTATAGACCTTGAAAAAGCATATGCTAGTGTCCCAGGAAAAAGATATGAGAAGCAATGAGAAGGATTGATATGAAAGAAAGAATAAACCTGGTTAAATCTTACAAAAACACCGAAGAGCAAATTAAAATAGGTGAAGTTAGCAGGAAGCATTCCGATAATTTTATGTGGCAGTGGTAGTTATTTGCTTGTTTACCTTCCGCGCACATAGTTAATAGCTCTGATTTTCAGTGTGCACGGGAATTTTGGGTTAGTTCTAGATTGACACAATCGCTGGTAATATAATTCATAGAAACCAAAAAAGAACCAAGTTTCTAAAATACGGGGATCGCGCACTTTGCAACAAGCGTTTGATCATATTTGTAATAATGCGTTTTGATCAGATTGTACTTTCATGATTCATTCATCCCATGTTTTAATTGTTATTGCTGCTACTAATGAGGAAGACAACGAAATATTTTATTTCGAAAATTTCACTGTATGAATGAATGTCCGGGAGAGGCTAAGGGCATCAACTGATGTCACTGCAGTACACCTGACCGAGAGGATCTAGGTTCGAATCTGGACGGTGGCAGGATTTTCAATATAAGCTTCATAGTGAGGTCGGATTCAGGAGTCTGCTGTCTGGAGGAGAATTCTAGTGAGCGGCTGCTCTGATCGGTAGTTTTTCGTGTTCCTCCGATCAGTAGCAGGGGAATGTCGAGCTGTACACTAACCAAAAACCACGCGCTATCTTTCCTTCCCCTCCTTGTCCTACGTCGCCCTTATTTACATACACTTACACTTTTATTAGTGTAAGCTATATACACGTCATTTTTGCATCATTTTTCATCATTTTTCTGTACAGAAAGTGGATGGAAAAAGATGTGCGTTTGTTTCGGTACCGAAACTGGATGAACGTGATTCCGATGTTTTACACGATCATTTTCTGCTCTGTATGCAATCGTGATGAAAATAACTTCCTCACACGCCGCAAAAAGCGCTGGAAGTTAAACAGTTGAACATCGCACGTACGTAACAATTGCAATACGCGGGGAAGAATGATGAGATGGTTACGTATTCGAGTGAAGTGGTAGATAGTCGTGTGAAGTATTTTGATTTTTGAGTTGGAATGGAAAGGAAAGCAGTGACACTCAACCTCACGAAATCACAACCAGAAACAGCACAAAACCTCTAACGTTCGAACAACTCTCCAGGGCACGGGAATCGAAGAAAGTTCCATAGAGTAACACCAGGAGCGCATAGTCAAACTGGATGCAATATTGTTCGGAAAAAATGAAGCACGCTTCATTTTTACGTACAAATTGCATCCAGTCTGCCGTCAGTAACTTGTCTGTACCGACGAGAAATGATGCAAAAATGACCGTGTAAAGCGGGCTTTATACACCAGCACACATGCCAGGAGACCTGTCGGGAACCTACTTGTTATCCCGGAAGGGCGGTGTTCCGCTGGTGGGAGATACTTAGTGGGGGGAAACCCCGCTAGTCGACCGATAGTTCGGGGCTGAATCTCTCCATCCAGCGGGAAAAGATCACTGACATCTCCAAAGGAAAAAATGCACTACTCTTAAGGAACTATTGACTTTATCAGTTGACGCATCAGGAATTACAACCAATCAATTGCAATAAAGAAATATCTTTAATTTTTCAAGAATTTATTCTGTATTAAATTGTTATGGATTCTTACTACCTGGAGAAATATTTAACTTCATTTATCATTTTACATCTAACATTTGAAACTCCGAATAAAGAGAGGAAGAGCGTAGTATCTACTCTCGGCCGTTTCAATGAGAGAGTAATTCCCCGCACAATGATTGAATGCACCGCATCAAAAAATCGTTATTTTAAGCTGAAACGGCGCAAACGATAGCAATGACAGAGGCAGTCATGCAAGTTATGATAGTGAGGAAAAGGGTACCAGTGTTAGTAGTGTAATAGTTTGTCATCTCTCTATAATTAAATCAATTATATTTTGCCCCCCGTTTATTATTCAATTTAATGGAGTATCTGGCTCTAATTTTTATCAAGATTTTTACTTACATTATGTCATGGTATTCTCGACTTTATTCTCGTGGGCTAGAAAACACCGCTCGTACTAGTATTCGGATGGTGATAATTTAATTTTGTTTGGGAATATTATTTATCAATTCCTTTATCAAATACTAATCAAAAATTGAACACCTTGTGTTTTGTTATGAAATTATCAGCGACATGAAGTGTCGCCTACTCAATTACTCTTTATTTCAATATTCTATTGTGTTTTTAACATTTCACAATATCTCATTGTATTTTCTCTACTGTCCCCTAATTTGATGGCCATCGAATACCTGTTTAGGAAAATGATAATTCTTTTCCTAACTTAATTTAATATCTTGTAATTAAATATGACTTGGCCTTGCTAAATTGTTTGTAAATTCTTTTTGCAACTCATCGTCTAATCGTTCCTTTGCAGATATATCAGCAATGTTGCCGTTGTGACAAGATCAGCGACTATTTCCATATGTCCATTCTGGAACTCTTCGTATTACCATACTGGATTTACTTCCTAAATTTTACTACAATTCCATATCTAAATTTTTAACGAATATTACTCTTTTCTCGCAATTCAATTTTAGCTCACTTATTCCTCAATATTCTCTAAAACTCGTGAACCACTTTTCTCTCTCTCTCTAAAACTCAAAACAAAATGTTTTTACATCCCATCACGCCCTAACGTCCGTAGATCCTCAAGCTCCCAAATCCAATATCATTCTGACTTTAAAGTGTTCGTTTTAACCTACGATCTGTATTAACAAGTTCACGTGTTTGGTTGTTATATTTCGAATCGATGCGATCTTGTCGCCCCTGCAACCATGCATCTAGGCCTCTCTTGTCTCATATCATCAATGTCCCATGCTTTTAATATGCTTTGTTTTCGAAAAACATTTTAATTGTCCAAAATTTTTTAATCAATATATTTACATTTTCTGAAGCATTGCATTCTCGATTACTCATTTTGATTTGTATCTTTACGTAATTCTTTATATTTCACCTGTTATAAAGCATTAATGATTTTGCTTCTTGAATACAAAAATCCCGTGAGGTATTTTGCGTTTCCTCAGTGGAATAGATGCAAATGATGAGATCAGAGCCGAGCCATCAGGTAAATTTGATGTTTATGCACCAGCGAACGAAGACACTACAGCAAATTAATGTCCAAGTAAGTTCGCTAACGCGTGCGGTGCGGTAGGCTAATACTTTTGGATTGGGCAGACGAGACAGACGCGAGCGAACGCCACGTCCTGGCTCCCTTCCCTCCACTTTCAGCTTCCCCCTTCTACACGGCATCCACCCTTGAAACAGTTTGCTAGGTCAGTGACACTCGAAGCCGTAGGACCAACGAATTATGCTCCTCTACGGACATCGTCTACACAATGCGACTTTTTGTGGACCGTGTATTACGTAGTATTTTATTTCGTATTGTGACATACCATTCATAAATCTTTTATTGTCTCACCACAAATATTTTGTTAAATTGCGTAGTTTCTATTTTTGTATTCACGTGCAAATTTTAAAACTAGTCGCCTCTCTGTCCAGTTCTGCAGCACATTTAGAGCTATAAATATTCATGAAACATTTTCAACCTACCTCTGGCTCGTCTTCCTAAGGACAACGACCGCTGTGCGCTCGAGGACGTCC